TTCCAAAAGAGTTTCGTCCATCTCGACTTTTTATCCACCTTAAAAAAATTATTATATGAAAAAAATGACGACTACTTTGCAGGTGGAATGCTTGCACGGACTACTTTGTGGGTGGTATGCTTGCAAAGGAAAGGTGGAATGCTCTGTCCGTAGTAGTTTTTGGGTGGAAGGCTCATATGGACAACTTGTGGATGGGATGCTCACAAGAAAAAGGGTGGAATGCTCGTCCATAGTTGGTTTTGCGATCATTTAACAGATCTGTGGTTATTTAATGATTTGTATATAAAGCAAAGAAGTCGTCATTTTTTTCATATAATAATTTTTTTAAGGTGGATAAAAAGTCGAGATGGACGAAACTCTTTTGGAATTTACGAGAAACTTGTACTGAATTAGAGTTAGTTGATGAGAAATCCAAATTGCAATGGGTAAGTTATCTTTACAAAAATCATCTATAGAGTATGCTTTTGTTAAACTTGATTTTGATTTTGATTTTAGAAAGAAGGGATGCTTGAATTTGAAAGAACAGGTCTTTGCCATCTTTGAGAGATTTCATCTGCTGTGCAAGAAAAACAAATCTCAAGTTATGCATCCTACAAGGGGCCTGAAATAACGTGAGTCTAGTCAAGAGCAAGACCCATTGACTTTTAAAGTTAGTTATAATGAACTTATTATTTTTTTTATGACTAGGAGTATGGCAAGTACACCAAAGCAAACCATTATACCAGAAGATAAAGGAAAGAACGAAAAATTACTTTATAATACATCACCAAAATATATATGCAAAAAAACCATTACCAAACCCTTTTTTGGTGAATCAGCAAAGGAAAAAACGTGATCTTGAAACCGAAGAAGATGACGAAGAATTTGATGCAAATCTAACGATTGTTGGTGGAAAAAGCACCGAATGGATTGTAAATGGAATTAAAATCAGGGAACGCCTCAAGGAATACCAGTTGAAGAAGAATCTGCCAAAGACGAGGCCAGAATATTATGACATTATATTCTTCAATTCTAATTCTAATAAAGATGGGTTTTTAGAGTCATTGGATGAAAGTATCATAACACAAATGCTCAGCGATATAAGTGAGAAGGAAACCGAAAATACAATGGAAAATGAAATCAAACTGCTGTTAGATCGTATCATTGATCGTGATATTAGAAAAACAAAGGAAAAACTCAAACAAAGGAAGAAGATACCGCTTTATTTGAAAATAAATTCGCGTTGAATTTCGTGAGACATATGTGAGTTTATTTTCTTATTCTTTATTGAGAAATGTGGTTGCGATTAATGAGATTAATTATATTTATAGGGTGAGATTAATGGAAGATGTCAATTTATTACTTGACCCAATGTCGGAAGGTACATATATCAATAGTGTCCTAGCGCCCATTCTTGATGAATTTTTTATCAAAAATAAAAGGCAATGGCGTGCATCTTACGGCGAAACTTGTCTCAAAGCGAGCGCAAAAGATAAAAATTCACTAAAAGAAGATTCTGAACGCAGGTCCACCGGAAAGAAAATTGACACTATTATTGAATTGCGAGAGGAGAATCAAGAATTTTCTGTCATTGAAATTAGTGGACCACCGTTAAAAAATGATTGGTCGAAATTTGCTAAAATGTTAAAAACAATAACAAACCATCCCAATAATCTCTACTATTTATTTCATATCCTAGTTTTAATAAACGCTTGCGTACATATTTTGGTGGATAATATTTTGCAAACCGTAACCATGCTTCTGACGTTTTAATATTGTTAACGATATAATTTACACCATATTCACTTAACCTATCTCGTGGGCCCTCTAGGCCATTGCTTTGCAATACTTTGCTATAACTCATTATATATTTGCTACTTATTTCATATATATCTAATATAGTTTTAACTGGTACTTTATGATTCGTAGAGTCGCCCAAGGGCCTGATTTCGCAAAGTTATCGCTGTGATGTTTTATTATAACAATATATTTAATTCTGTGTTTTTAAACTCGTATTAATAAATAATATTATGATATCAACAACAAGTAAACCTACGATCAATTCAAGCACTAACTGGTCGACTATAACCGAAGAATTCGCCAAAAAATTGG